CTTTCTAAGCAACAGGCTGGAGTTTATTGTCACGAACACGGACTGAGATCCGTGTCAGATCTTGTAGTAGACCCTATGCGATGCGGTAAGAGCCGGAGAAAACAGGAGGCGTGGTAAAAGGAAACACACAGGGGTTTAATAGTGCACAAAATAATAGTGACAATCCGTGAGACAGTGAACAGGGAAGACAGAGAACGGCATCCAAATCCAAACGGGTCCAAAGGCAGGTCAGGGCACAGTCCAAGAGTCTATCAATGAGAAATCCATCCTGGGACGTGACAAGGTTAAAATCCCCGGAAGGGGGAACACGCGGAGAGACAAGACATGGAGGTCCAAGGTTATGGGGCAAGATCCTCCAGACCTTGGGCTCAGGAAGTGGGAGGTGTCGGGGATGAGGCCTATGCCCTCAGGAGACGGACGTAGGGTTTCCTGGTGCCAGACGGGCCTCGCGACATCTTTACCCTAATGATGAGCACCGAGGACTGGAGCAACTAGTCTTTAAATAATAAAGCTATGAGGATACACCTGGGGAGCTTAACAATCACAAGGACAATAATGGGAGCAGTGGAGCGCCCTCTAGGGAGGGATGTCGGGCGTGACAGTACCCGCCACTTCAAGGGTGGCTCCTGATGCCCTACACAATTAAAAATAAGGGCAATACTATCAACAAGAATATCACAAGCACATACTATATACAACCAGAGAAGGAAATTCAGAATCACTATACACACAAGAGATAAAACTGGAGAATACTTTATACAAAACAATAGGGCTGTCCACTCTCAAAATAGTTCCAGCCGAGAAAGAAAAAAAAAACGGAGAAACAAGACAGTCCAGGAAAAAAAATCCAAAAATTCCTTTAAAAAAATCCTCAAAAAATACCTTGTCCAGCGAAACAGGAATGAATCTTGATAGGAAAATGTGAAGGGCATCTTGAAGAAATTGGTGAAGAAAAAAAAATCCAGATAAGGGTCTGGGTTTTCCTGATTACCGCTCGTGGGATTTAGCGATGGCTCATCATTCTGTCATGGACACGGACTGAGATCCGTGTCAGATCTTGTAGAAGACCCTATGCGATGCGGTAAGAGCTGGAGAAAACGGGAGGCGTGGTAAAAGGGAACACACAGAGAAGAGACATGGAG